CTTTTAAATAAATGCCCATAAATCATGTCAAATAGCAACAACACAGCAACAGAAAGAGTCAGCTAAAGTGATACTGACCAGGACAAGGGACGAACTTCCGATTCACTTCGTGACTGTCAAGTAGCGACTGGATCAACCCAACAGCTGCAATGTCGCATCGAAACACGTGACACTGGTGACGATGGGTTTTTAAATTACGTGATACATAGCCAAAATCCCTAAGGAGAGAAAGAGTATAAAAACAATCAATTAGGCTCAGTGAGTGAATATGTACAGTGTATAAATAGTTTACATAACTCCATAAAATACAATATCATACTTCTGGATACAAGGAAAGGGCACAATGTGCTGTACTACAATCACAACTGAGATTGAAATGTAGAAACATAACTGTTATCTACAGTGTACAGTGTAGCCTCTTTTATAATGTATGTGTGAATATTTTCACTTTAGCAATGTTCTTTATAATGAAGACACCTTTGTATTAAGGACAGGTAGTGTGGGCCCAATGGTGTCCTTAATAAAGAGGCTACACTGTACATGTATTAAGGACAGGTAGTGTGGGCCCAATAGTGTCCTTAATAAAGAGGCTACACTGTACATGTATTAAGGACAGGTAGTGTGGGCCCAATGGTGTCCTTAATAAAGAGGCTACACTGTACATGTATTAAGGACAGGTAGTGTGGGCCCAATGGTGTCCTTAATAAAGAGGCTACACTGTACATGTATTAAGGACAGGTAGTGTGGGCCCAATGGTGTCCTTAATAAAGAGGCTACACTGTACATGTATTAAGGACAGGTAGTGTGGGCCCAATGGTGTCCTTAATAAAGAAGAGGCTACACTGTATATGTATTAAGGACAGGTAGTGTGGGCCCAATGGTGTCCTTAATAAAGAGGCTACACTGTACATGTATTAAGGACAGGTAGTGTGGGCCCAATGGTGTCCTTAATAAAGAGGCTACACTGTACATGTATTAAGGACAGGTAGTGTGGGTCCAATGGTGTCCTTAGTAAAGAAGAGGCTACACTGTACATGTATTAAGGACAGGTAGTGTGGGCCCAATGGTGTCCTTAGTAAAGAAGAGGCTACACTGTACATGTATTAAGGACAGGTAGTGTGGGCCCAATGGTGTCCTTAGTAAAGAAGAGGCTACACTGTACATGTATTAAGGACAGGTAGTGTGGGCCCAATGGTGTCCTTAGTAAAGAAGAGGCTACACTGTACATGTATTAAGGACAGGTAGTGTGGGCCCAATGGTGTCCTTAGTAAAGAAGAGGCTACACTATAGTACAATACAGTATATAAATTACTTGTTATTGATTTGTCCAACTCCCCAGACTCTAATTCTATTAATGGCTTGTACTACTACAACTGTCCCGTCTGTGACATTTAACCACTTCAGCTCCATGCCACACACTTGAAGGTGTACTCTGTCATTCTGTGAACACAAAGAAAATAAGAGAATACATGTGTACACTGATCATGTACACATGTCAAACACATGTTCACTAAAAGATGACATATTGCTCGGTCCATGTTGGTGTAATTATAACAGAAATAACTGTCAGAATGGCAATTACTTCTGCATGAACAGTACACAGAAGCTGCTAAAAACATATAATGTACTATGTACAATAAAAAGTGTACGCTATAGAGAGTGTCCATTAAGAGAGGCTATACTGTACTTACCCTTTTAAACATAGCAACTTGCTGTAACACTTGAGGTGGGGGTCCATCTTTAGCTGTCAGTATCTCAATGGCACTAAACACCACCTGTACACTTCGCCCCTTTATCAGCCTCTCCTCTTGTACTTCAACGGATCCTAAGTATTCAGCAGCGAATGTGGTCGGTTTTAAGACTCTAGGGGATAAAGAACCTCTTTCGGAATCAGACGGACTCATACTCTAGAAATAAATAAATTAATAAATAAATAGTAATAATACTGTAATCAGTAATTGGTGTGATCAATGAGTGTGAATAAGTGTTATAGTAAGAATGAGATACAATACTTACTCTAAACGCACTGCACTACTACTAACAGTAATGACACTACATGTACATGTACAGTGTAGCCTCTATATAATGGACACTTATGGAGCAGAAAGTGTCTCTGTTATACAGAGGTGTCCTTTATGTGGAGGTTATTTTATACATTAAGGAATGTAATTGGTACACTAGGTGCTGTCCGTTAAATGGAGGTGTATGCTATAGATAGTGTCCATTAAGAGAGGCTATACTGTATACATATCATACTAATATAACATGATAAACATGACACATGTATTATTAACCTTTGATGCATTGGGTCCCTCTGGTTTGGTATACTGGATATTACCAGTTGGTAAATGCCAATAAAACACCTGTCCCTGCTCGTTCACCTCTCTCTTCCATCCGGGGGGTAGCCCGTTAGAACCAGTCGACACGTTCCAGCTGTTCCTAACAACTTGTTTGATTTCAGAGGCACGACGAGGAGGAGGGGGAGCAGAGGATTCACCCCCAGGGACAGGCCAGAGTGGTATGTCTATTTCAGGGTAGTAGTGATTATCGAGTCTTTCCAGTCGTCTCTCGAAATCCTCATCGCTCACACTCTCAGGTTTTGCGATAGGAGTATTTGAAGTTTTACGTTGCTTAGTCTTCAAGTCGGCTTGGGTCTTAGCCCCGGAACCAAACCCAGAGGATAGGCCGGGCCTCATGTCGCTGTTATCCCAAACGAGGGCTGGAGTGTCACCTCCTGTCTCGTGATGCTTAACAGATTCATACAGGTGAGGAGCAGGCTTTATATCTGGTTTAGGTGGATTAGGAGCATGAATCATATTGTCTTTAGGCTTGTCGGCAAGATCTTCGTAAGTATGCGACCGGTTCTTAGGAACCGGACTAGAAGACGGACCATTGGGTGCGTGTACCAGTTCAAACTGACCAGGGGAGTCTTTATCAAGGTCTTCGTAATTATGTGGGTGTGGTTTACGGTTAGGGTTAGGGACATTAGGTGCATGGATAAGCTCATCTTGGTCGATGTTTTCATCTGGATCTTCGTAGTCGTGGGAACGAGGTTTTATTTTGGTGCTAGGAGCGTTAGGTGCATGGATAAGTGAATCACTTGGATCAACGTTAGTATCAAGATCTTCGTAATCATGTAGGCGTGGCCTAATCACAGGGCTGGGTGGGTTGGGGGCGTGTATCAGCGTCAGCGGAGAGTCAACGATATCAGGGATACTTGAGTTACTGGCTGACATTAGAGACCCTTCAATGGTGACACCAGATCTCATTAATAAAGACTTATCAACTTGCAGTTTACTATAACACGGATCATCTAATCTGTGTGGTAGAGTTGATCCTTTCGTCTTAACAGCGTGAACCAAATGATCGTACTCACCAAGTTCTTTATCTTCCTTCTCAAGTACGTCAAAAGTATCGGCTTTCTTTAATTTTGGGGAATGTTTACGTCGCAGCCTCACAGAAGAAGCTTTTCTTGATGGGATCTCTGGGGCGGGGAGCTGTCTTCTGGGGAGCAGCGTCTTTGAGCTCTGTCTAGTATGAGACACAGTCATTAGTCCATCATCCGTCAAACTGGGTTTAATAACGGGTTGTGTGACGTGATACGCTACTACCGGAGCTAAGGGTCTCTGCTTTGGAGACTTGGGACTCAGAGAGACCGGGGGAGGGAGAGGAGGGGGAGAGAGATCTCTAGGGGGTAGAGGAGGAGGAGGAACAGAAGGGGGAGGAACAGGAGGAGGAGGGACAGAAGGAGGAGGGAGAGGAGGGGGAGAGAGAGGATTAGTTGAGCGTGTTGGTGATGGCGATGACGAGGTTCTTGGAGGAGGAGGTGGAGCCTCTTGATTAGTTTTAATTAACGTCTTTGGTTTATTAGGAGTAGTCACTTCATCGTACATGACACTATCATCACTCTCTTTAATGGCCTTCTCTACAACTGGAGATGTTAACGAGGATCCTTTTATATTCTCGCTTGATGAAGGATTAGCAGCTATCATAAACTCAATTTTACCTGGTCTAGCCAATGCCCGAGGTATTTCATCATAAAATACACTATCGGCAGCTGCACTTTCTTTAGAAACCTTTGGTTTGATAATCGGCTCATCATAAAGTATCTCGTCCTGTGAATGGTTCTGCTTTTTAGTTCCTCGTACTTCCATTGTGATGTGATTAATGGCACTGGCGTTACTTGAGTACAAGAACTGCTGCATTTTCAAAGGTGATAACAGCTGCTCACTTAAATCAGTTCTCTCCGGTAGTGGAGGGGGAGGAGTGTCCTCCATGTAATCCTCTTCGTCATAATTCCTAGAGGGAAGAGGGGGAGGGGGAGATCCCTCGGACGAATGATGAGGACTAGAAACAGGAGGAATTGGAATGCTAGGAGTAGAGTAGCCATTATCTAGCAATGGACGCTCGACTGGCACTTTCAATGCTACTTTACTTCTTTCTTTGTCGTTTAAGTTTATATTTTCTTTTTCCAGTAGACATTTTGTTGTAACTTCGGCATACATAGTCGTATCTAAGCTTCCTGTCTGGCTGTTGTTACCTCTTCCAACGTTAACATAGCCGTGGGTATCTTTTAACTTTAAGTAAGACAAAGCTAAGGGAGGAGCGGGAAGAAATACTAATAATAATAATAATGATAACAATTATTATCATTGTTGTTATTATTGTAATCAGGGAATAGCTCAATACTCCACAAAACTAAAACAACACTAATTTCTCTTTCATGTTTCTTGATGAAACATGATAAATGTATTCAAGGACGGGTAGTGTGGGCCCAATGGTGTCCTTAATAAAGAGGCTACACTGTACATGTATTAAGGACAGGTAGTGTGGGCCCAATGGTGTCCTTAATAAAGAGGCTACACTGTACATGTATTAAGGACAGGTAGTGTGGGCCCAATGGTGTCCTTAATAAAGAGGCTACATAAGAATACATACATTGTAAGCCCTTGGCACCATGATATGCATGTATATAATACACATTCTTTCTAACCTTCTTCTTTGGGGAACTTCCATTGCACTCTGTTGGTGTCCTTATGCCAAAAGTACACTCCTTTATCTGACTCCAACTTCCTCCAGCCAGGAGGTAAAGGAAGTGTCTGTGTGACTCCCTTCTTTTCCATTAGACTTTACAATGTTGCCACACTACAGAGAGAGGGAGAGAGAGAGAGAGAGAGAGAGAGAGAGAGAGAAAGAGAGGGGAAGAGAGAGAGAGGAAGAGAGAGAGAGGGAGAGTGGGTGCACTACAGTTATCATAGAGACATAGATCATAATGAGCACCACACCAAATTAGGAACTAAGTAAATACTGTTATAGGATGTAGGACACTGCGGCAGTATAATAGCCAGTGCAATAGGTCAACCTACATTAGCCACTAATTTCTTATTACTTTCATCAAATAACTCTACAATTACACCACTGCTTCAATAGACTGTATTATTCTAATTTCATATTATTTTTCATTAAAATAACTTCACTGAATTACATTCCTATACAAGGTATGTTGCTGGACAGTGTAATACGATAGTGCATGCTCAGAATACAGTAAGTATGACAGAGGCTAATAATCATGGTCAGTATAGTTGTTGATTATAAGCCTCAATGCACATTATTCAATGCTGTGACTAGTAAAAGACAACACTTTCTATTGTAACAGACAATAGGGAGGTATTGTTATCATTATACACATACAGGGAAGACTTGTATAATAGTAACAGGATGAACAATGAAGTGAGTACAAGCAGAGGTCTAGTCTACAAGCCATTTTGTCTTGTACAGGGTCGCTTTTATTAATTTTGTAAAATTACACCAGCAAATTTATTTTCAAGCCTCGCACAATCTCAGCTCACTACAAGAGATATTCCCTTTACCTGGTAGCTGATCCTAGTCCCTACAGCAAAGACCAAGAGTGGGGGAAGAGAGAAGAATAGTGAGCCGATTCAAAGCAGCAAAGCCAGCTCAGACAGAATGTGTCTATACATTCACACGAGACCACGAGGGCACGCCTATATGAGACAGTAATCAAATCAAGCTGTGGATCTTACAGACAAAGTGGAATTTCGCTAATTCATTACAGGAAGTTATCAGTAGATCATGCCTTCTTTAAGCTGCTCTAGGGTTTGCAAGGGTCTACTGTGGGAATTTCATTATTCCAAGTTCTGTCTTTCATACCATGATTGGAGGAGCTTTGCATTTACACCAGTGAGTCAGCCAAACCACTTCAAAAGACAGACAGTTTTGTTATTTAAAAATACTGTTGTTCTCATTATTATTCTTATTAAAACAAGCCCTCTATTGTAATTTGGTTGTTCTGGTAATGTCACGTACAGTTAAAGTACAAGAAGTGTTGTACAATTATGTTCAATTAAGACATCTTGTTAAGTTAAGCGGGATAGTGGTCACTAATCTGTATTGTATTACTGTTAGATCTACATATAATTATTTATTATAATGTTCCTGAGTGGCTTCTGAACATGAGCAGCATGTTTTATAATCACGTGAAACATATCAAGCAAAGCCAAGTTTAATGTCCATTGGGTGTAGAGTTTCAACCTTTTGGCCGGTTTTTTGGACTTACAGCTATTTTTTGAATGCCAAAATTCTGAAGAATAAAAAATCAAGACTAAAAGTTCATGGTTTTTTCCAAGAGTGGCCCTGATATCACCCCAAATTTTTATTATATTTTCTGTTACATATTGACATCCTTATGCTGTGTAGAAAGTTTGAACTGATTCCAACTTCAATTTTTCAAGTTAACGCCATTTTAAAAAAATGCCAAAATTCTGAAAAGTACCCAAGGCTATGATTTTTCCAAAAATCACTTTAAAATCACTCCAAATTTTTATTACATTTTCTGATACATATTGATGCCCTTTTGCTGTGTAGAAAGTTTGAGCTGATTCTGACTTCAATTTTTCAAGTTACGGCCATTTTAAGAAAATGCCAAAATTTTGAAAAATACCCAAGGCTATAGCCCATGGTTTTTTCTAAAAAATGGCTAAAAAATGACCCCCAATTTTTATTACGTTTTCTGATACATATTAATGTCCTCGTGCTGTGTAGAAAGTTTGAGCTGATTCCGACTTCAATTTTTCAAGTTACGGCCATTTTAAGAAAATGCCAAAATTTTGAAAAATACCCAAGGCTATAGCCCATGGTTTTTTCTAAAAAATGGCTAAAAAATGACCCCCAATTTTTATTACGTTTTCTGATACATATTAATGTCCTCGTGCTGTGTAGAAAGTTTGAGCTGATTCCGACTTCAATTTTTCAAGTTACGGCCATTTTAAGAAAATGCCAAAATTCTGAAAATTACCCAAGGCTATAGCCCATGGTTTTTTCTAAAAATTGGCTAAAAAATGACCCCCAATTTTTATTACATTTTCTGATACATATTGATGTCTTTATGCTGTGTAGAAAGTTTGAGGTGATTCCGACTTCAATTTTTCAAGTTTCGACCATTTTTAAAAAATGCAAAAATTCTGAAAAATACCCAAGGCTATAGCCCATAGTTCTTTCTGAAAAATGGTTCTAAAATGATCCCCAAAATGCTTAAAATAGCTCCAAAATCATTCTAAATTTTTACTAAGTTATCACTCCCAATGTTTGGACATTCCCAATTATAGTATGAGTATAAATCCTCTTACTGAGTTCATAGTATAATAATTCATTTAATACCTGACACTATGATCTTGAATATTATCATTTTATTTTTCTTTTAACTTCTAGTGGGTGCCTTATTCACTGATATATCAACTCCCTTATCTTATCTATCGCTACATATTGACGATCTTCTTTATTGTGAGTATCTTCATTACCGGTTTTGATCCAGTTAATGGAGAGGAAAAATTCTTCATATTTCTCACCAACTGGATATTCTTTGCGTGGACCCTCTACTGTACATGGTCCTCCATCTCAGTGACTATCATGTTCATTCAAGTCTTTGCCTGCAGGAAAGAAGTGGAAGACATCGATCTCGACATTAATGGAGGAGGTCCCTGCAATCACGAGCTACTGATTGACAACAGACCAGCTGGTTGCTGCGGTTTTGCTGGTAATAAGCTTTATTGGCACCAGAGGATCCTCTGGGTATTATATGCAGCTGCTATCCACACGTCAATATACGTTGTTATACTGTTCTGGGGTCTCCTTTATGATCCTGATGCTAACTTCAATTACTGGTCATTTGTGAATCTTGTCACTCACCTTGTCACCGGCGTACTAGCAATCATTGAGATTTACCTGACAGGGATCCCAAGCCGACTTCTTCACTTTATATATCCTTTAGCCTTTGGTGTAACCTGGCTTGTTTTTAGTGGGATCTACTATGCAGCAGGTGGTACTAACGTCAGCGGTAGGAGATACATATACAGCGTACTGGACTACATGAATCATCCCGGGACTGCAGCTGCTCTCGGTTTAGTGTCGATGATTGCTACCATACCACTTCACGTCTTGATTTATTTTCTTTTTCTTTCTAGGGAGCTATTCTTGTTTTTAGTTGGCAAGCACTGCTCGTGTTGTAAACCAACTCAACCAAGAACTGATGAAGAAATAGAGCTCAATAATTGAAACATTCATTTTCACCAAAAGTACATGTAATTTTTGTCATGAACTCAGTAATGATATTAAAACTCCAATTTTGATTTTTTAACTATTTTTTCTTTTCATCTCATTACATTATTCATTAGTTTTGCAATAAACCACACCCATAACATTAAAAGAGGCGTGTCTGGATTGAAACAAAAAAATGGTGAAAGTTCTGTTTGTTTGTCTTGGAAATATCTGTCGCTCTCCACTCGCCGAGGCCGTCACCAACAAGCTACTGAGCGACCAAAACATAAAGAACTGGACTGTAGACAGTGCGGCAACCTCACGCTATGAAATAGGCTCGTCTCCCGACCACCGTGGGCTCAGACTAATGAAAAGAAAAGGACTTACCTCAACTCACCGAGCAAGACAAATCTGCCATGAAGATTATGATAACTTTGATTATATACTTTGCATGGACGATGATAACGTGAGGGACGTGAGACGTATGGCTCCGAGGAAGCGAGAGTTTTCCGCTAAGATTGAGCTGCTGGGTCGCTATGATAGAGAAGGTCCTGACATCATCGAAGATCCTTATTATGGTGACGACCGAGACTTTGAAGCAGTTTATGAACAATGTCTGAGGGCTTGTACTAATTTTATACGTACTAAGATGACTGACGAGGAACAGAAATAGAATAGAAATTAATTTTATAGATATTGTGTTACCTAATGTTACTAAAACTATTTAACTATTAATTATTGTTAAACTATTTAATTGTTATAAGTGATGTAGTTCTTGTTTTATGCTATGTGCAGTGTATATATTTACTTAAGCTTTTTCGACATTTCTTCAGCTATTGGTTTAAATGCATCTTCTTTGCTAAAAATATCAATTAGATTTCTTAGTCTAGCTGCTGATTTGCCTGATTGATTAACTGCTTCTCTGATATACATCAACAGAGTGGTTCCGTTCTGCAAGCCAGACTTGTTGTTTTCATCAGTAGCAGCATTATAGCCGGCTTCACTGATGAGCTTTTTACTGAACAATTTTGAAGCAATTATCAACCTATTGTCTGTTTTAGATAACAACACTGTCAGTTCATCAATCTGTTCCTGAAATATGTCTTTTGCTTTATCATCATCTACACATATTGGCATCAGTGGTAAAATATAATAAAAGTATCAAAGTCAACATTATTTTACCTGCAGGGGAAAATTGATTTGCTGGTGAATTTGGTGAAGTCACAACTTGTCTGTGAATAAAAAGTGTCATTGGCTCAGTAGTACCTTCAACAGGTACAGGATAATGTAGTGCTGAATCAGAGTCATCAGTATAGGCATTTGATGATGAATAAACAGATATGATGCATTCAGGTGGAAGTGAGTGGTTTCCTTCACCAAACATATCCATGTCTGTTTGGCGCATCTTCAAAAAAATTAAGGTTATGTTATTTAATAATGATGATATTTATGCTTACTTTGCAAGATGCACTGTGAGTCTGAATGGTCCAACGATCTGTTTTTATGGTGGGCTCAAGTTTCAGCTGAATTTCTGTGTGCTGCTCCTTAAAACTAAAAGGCTCATGTGGTCCTTTTTCTGCTGTAGCATGTTCAGCTTCAATGTACTACAGTAATTTTAATATATAGATCGATTGTTGTATCTGATGTCTTACCTTATGTAAAGCATCTAAATTTTTGACAGCAGTGAAAGTCACCCAATACTCTCTATATTTCGGTTCATAATAAATCATTAGAGTGTACCCCATAGCTTTAACAATAGGAGTAGGCACTGTGTACAAGACAAACAGAAGCTTATTAACATTACATGCATAATTATTATTGTTCAAACCTCTAGTTAATTGCTTATTAGATTTATCACCTTCAGACTGATCATCAGCAGCAATAGTGGACTTTTCTCCTGTGATACCCATCAGACAATATTTACCACGCTTAATCGAGCCATAGCTACTTCCAATGGGAAACTCACCACCTTCTACAGCTGTGAACTGAAGTGGAAGTTTAGCAGAGCTGATGGGAGCTGTTACAAATTTGAGAAACTTTGCTTGACTCTCGTCTTCCAATCTAACGCAATGCTGCAGCTCTAGCTTGAATGGCTTGAGGAGTTTTTTAGAGACAGAGATAGCATACACAGCACTAACAAGAACTGTGTTTTCTGGAAAAATAAAAGGCCCTCCTGCAAGGGCAACGACAGATATCATAGCAGTCTCTGTAGAAGATAGACTTCCTTCTGAAATACTGATACTAAGACCATATTCCTTCCAATTCATTTGGTGAGCATTTCCTCCTTGAATTAAAAATATTTCTTTTCCAGCAATGAGGCAACCTAGTCTTTCGTAGCTAGGCTCCTTCCCTTTTTGACATTTGGATGGCACGAGGTAGCCCACGTCATCAAGTTTGTCTATAATTAATTACATGCATTATAAGTTATTGATATGATCAACTAACCTTGTAATGGAACCAGATAATCATGCAAAATACCATTGTCACATACTGACTTGTAAAGTTCTATTGGACAATGATATCACATTCACAATGCATTATATATCTATTCTAACCTGTTAATAAATCATCTCTTTCCATCTTTTTAAGAAATTTCTCCACTTGATTGAGCAATTCATGACATCTATCAGCATAATTGTAGAGCAAACATTCCAATTTAGAATCAGAGCCATTTTTGTTTTGATCAATTTCATATAATTGAGATTCACCAACAACAAGGAACTCGCCTAGCATGTACCAGTCATCTTCCATTGGTTTAAGAGCTTCTGCTATTTTATGAATCATGTCTATACAGAAATAAATAAAATTTGTCATAGCCATATTGCCTTATGGATGTAGTTCATTTAACTAAATTCTATTTCTAACTACAAAAAATTATACTGTTACTGCCTACCTGGTTTAGGAGTCATAATGCCAATGTGACCCATATCAACCTCTTTATTTAATAATAGCTTTTTAATGTGATGGTCTTTTTCTTTTACTCTGTCTTGTAACATTGCTATGTAGAAATCCTTCTCTCTGAGTTTGTCTAGCTACAAGTATACAATAAGATAATATAATAGATGCTGCATGCATGGCACCCATACCAATATGTCATTATCTTTCTGTGCCAGTTCAAATTTTTCTAACAATTGAGTTTTCTGCATAATTATTATAATAAAATTAAGATCTAATAACGGTTTAAATCAAACCTCAGATTTCATCCTGTTATTCTCCTTCTCTAATGAATTCAATAACTCCAAGCTCAAGGATGTTTTCTAGATAAAAAATAAGTACAAACAACAATAAAAATGCTAATAATGAATTGTTTGTTACCATACAATTAAATAAAGGTCATACCTTTGCCATTGGTGTATATGAAACAAGCCATTCTTTATGATGACTAGATAGTGCTATAGCCTTTTGATGATTAGGACACTCTCGAAACTCGGTGCAAACCATAGATGTATATCCTGGGCTCTCCAACTTGCTGAAATGAGGTCTTGGATGAACACTTGAACAGTAAAACCCCGTAAAAAATGGAGGAGCCTTATCATGCGAATTGAAAATAACTTTCTTCATAAATTCGTAAACATTGGAGGGATCCCCAGAGCCACCATCAACTTGAATCTCCAAATATGAAAAACGAATCATAGCTCTAATGCTTGTATTGCGATGATGAAACTTGATGTGGTTATTGAAACGAATTGATTCAAGAAGTGCCTTTTCTTTGGAAAGCTCAGTAACCAAGGCTGAAAGCACAGTAATAGGATTAGAGGCATCCTCAAATTGAAATAGAATGGGATTTTTCGTTTTAATTTCATCTTCAGTAATGCTTGCAATACGAGTATCAGGCAACAGGAGACTTGGAATAAAATATTGTTTTGGATCAAAGTCAAGCAGTATGTTGTAATATTTAAGAAGGTTGATAATAAAAGCCATTTCAATTGGTAAGTGGCTGTTTAGTGAAAGAACTTGATCCAGATCATGCTTTGAAATTATCCCTGTGTTTGAAATATCCTTGTTCTTGGAGGATATGGCAAGTAGTGCACTTGTTATGGTACGAATGAAAGAGCTGAGATCAATGATAACGAAATCCTTGAAACCTTCCACTTCCTCAAAATAAAGAAATAAACCAACTTCTTGCGATGCAAAATTAAGAATTTGAGGTATTTCTTTTTGTGATATTCCATCAATTTTAGCCATTTCTATCCACTCTTTGAATTGAATGAGACCACCATGATCCCGAAGCTTGTAGAAGAATGATGAACATGAGATTGAAACTTCTACTTCAGATGAACTCTTTTGTAGCTCTTTATTAATAAAAGAAGATATTTGACTCATTTCCTCCTCATTTCCATTCATGTTATCAACGGCAAGAAAAATAAGACCAGTGTCATCATCAAAGACTAAGAAACCATTGGATAAAAAGCTGGCCTTTCCAAAATACTTCCTGATCTCCTTATCTTTTTGACGAAAAACACTAGATCTGCAACTATCATCAATGCGATCGACATTCGTAGCTAGAAGAACTGCTCTGCTATTATAAGATCGAACATCATTGTAATGTGATAATAACTGATGCAAAAACTGAACTGGAACGTAGCACATTTTAGAACCATCATCTCTGATGATGGATAATTCTTTGGTGAGATCGACTGATATATCAAATACAACCAAGTGAAAGGTTTGCCCTTGGAAAAGGTGTGGCAATACATTATACATCTCATATTGCTGGACGTCAATATCTATTATATCCTTCATATGTGTACCCATGCCCGTGTCAAAAACAAAAGACATTCGATTAGATTTAGGCTCGTCTGTTGTATCATCTGGATTATTAGGAGGAGTAAATTCAGCGGAATCGGCCAATTTCTTTGTTTTTTTAAGATTAATGATCTCTCCTTTGAATCGTTTGGTAAAAACAGACTTCCCAACTTGTGGTGGCCCAGAAACAAGGAACTTAACATTCCGTGGGACTTTCATTTGTCCTGCAATAAAATTGTTTTACTACATAATTATTAATGACTTGTATAATAATACCATTGACACTGTCATCATCATTTTCAGTATCATGCTCTCTTAAAGGCCTTGCTACAATACTCTACAAGTAAAAGAAAAAGTAGCTAAATTAAATGCGGTATTATAAATAATACACATACCTCCTTTATTAATTGTACTGCTTCAAGGAAATGCATATCTTTAGCCATTTCAAATGGTGTCTTATTATCCTATAGGTATTATAAAAAATTCATGTCATGAGAAAATGATATAATTAAACATACCATGTTTTTGATTGTAATAGAGGCTTGCTTCTTTAGCAAAGCTTCAACAAGCTCATAGCTCTTAGCCCTGACAGCAAAATGAAGCGCTGTATTTCTCTTCTACAAAAAAATCAATTAATGAATTAGTTAAAAGTACTCTTGTTAATAACATAGAATTTTTCTTTTCAACAAGGATGATAAATCAATTTTACAAGCAGCAAGCAGCTATGATCAAAGTACAGTACTTATGCATGTACATGCATATGTTCCTGTTCTCAATTTTTATAATTTTTTCCCATACACATACATGTACTCATTATGCAAAGAAATTTTAAGCTGATTCCAATCACATTTGGATTTTTTTTTAATTTTTAAAGTCGCTCAAAAATAGGTAGAAGTCCCTGTATAAGGACTTTGGTCAAATTTCATCAAAAATGACTATTAGAGAATTCTCCATTTTAATAACTTTTTCTGATACATATACATGTACTTACGTTGTGTAGAAATATATGAAATTTGAATTTTTAATGAATTTTTAAAGTTGCTCTAGAATCAGGCCAAAGACTGGTACAGGGTATTTTATCGGGCTAGAAGAAATTTTCTATTTTTAATAACTTTTTACAATGCATAATACATGTTGCTATGCCATGGATTAAGTTTAGAGTCAATCTCATTACATTAGTGGAATAAAACAAAATTTAAATGACTCACAGAAGTTTTATCATTAATAATTGTCTCAGCTCCATTCTTTAGAAGTGCAATAGCAATTCTAACTCTCTTACTCCGACATGCAATGTGCAAGGAAGATTCATTAAAGAAAAATGTTTTCCCATTCTTGACCCAGTTAGGATCACTGATTAATAGGTAAACAACATCCTCATGACCATGATGACAAGCATAGTCTAGGGCATTCCAACCATACTAAAAGAAAAAGGCAATATAAATATAATAGTTCAAAAATTATTGTATACTTGCCGAATCTCTAGGTGTTCTCAGTGCATCATTTTGAAGAAGAATCTTCACTATCTCTGTGTGTCCTTTATGACTGGCAATAACCAATGGTGTACGATAGAACTGGTATATAGTGAAAAATAGATTCAGTGCACTAGTACAGGCATTATATATATAGTACTCATACTTTTCCAGTGTGCTTCCAGTTTAAATTTAAGTTTGTCCTTTCATGAATCAACTTGATCACCTTGTCTGGCTCACCATTCGAACAGTATTTATATAACTAGCATAATGAAAACGTACAAATTAGAAATAATTTGAATTACACAGCCTCCTACCTTAGCTGACATTTTGTACTGACACACCCCATACAAAACCAGAAATTTGAAACAAAAGAAAATTGATATGACTTAATGAATATCAATATTATTACATAATAAAAGCTTTGCATTGAGCCAAATACATGTACATGTATATCTAAGAATTAAATTATTGATTAATATTTAATGTATTAATATTGTTAAAACTATTGAAAGTTAGTATTGTACATATTGAATTTTTTACTCTTACTTAAACTGTGTCATCAAAGAAATAGTTTGTTTAAATTGTCGTCTATACGATTCCTCAAAGTCTTTTGTATCTACTAAAGGTTGATAGATGCTGAATTGTGATCTAAACTGTCTATCTGGAAACTTTTACTGTGAGTTTGATTTTGCAAGATTAGAAATTAGAGATCACCCATATAATTGCATGCCACATTCAGTATTATGACACAGTCTTATTACGTAAAAATTGAATAACAGCACATTTTCTAAAGCATAAATTTTCAAATATGCAACATGCGAGCCACTCTCATAAAATAGTGGGATTCTCTTGGAAACTAGCTATACCAAAGGACAATATTCAATACAGAACAATATAGAGTAAAAGTGCAATATGGGGGAATTTTTATATGTCATCATGATAGCATCATACTTCTGTATACATAATCTGTGCAGCACAGCATGATATTGATTTGAAATATGCTTCACATCAATAACAGTACACAAATAGTCCCGAAACATAACTTCCTTATAAGGATGTAAGTCATGCATTGAATCAACACAGCTTGCAATACAGGACATAGTACGACATATGCTATTAGTTATGTTATATATACTGAATTTAAGTTCTGCTATTTTGTGTATAGGCTTGCTACATGACATGATATCCTTACAGTAACTTTGAGGCTAACTTCAAAAGCGTGTTACAAAGATTAACAATAACAAACCTAGATCTCCTCATTGATAACATAACTAAAGCAAAACTAATTAACACTGACATCTATACTGACTGTACATACAACTAATAAGTAATTAATGTATACAAACTAAAGTGATATTGATGTTTAGTAATGTTTTTATCAGGTGCACATCACAACAATGATAACCAATACAGCTATAGGGTGAGGGACATGGCCATGTAATGATGTCATTGTCTGGCGATTTGCTGTGTCATGATTTAACATTACCTAAGCACGTGTACTGATGGAGATACACCTTTAAAAGTACACAAGTGCATCTTTCTCTGACCTAATTGTCTCAAGTGGCCATGTGTCAATGTCCAGTTTATCTCCTAATGATAAACTGTAACTGACTCAAAGTCAAAACTGAAACTGAATCTTAAGCCACTGTTGTGGCTATCTTGTATATAATCTTCCTCTTTGATGTTAGGACACATTTCATATTCAGTCATGTTTCTTTCAAGTCTCTTCTTTCTTCTTGTCCTCCTCCTGGCAAATCATTTGGTAGTTTCTGAACAAGTTCATAATTCAAGTCAACTGGAGGATGTTCTGTGCAGGAACAGGTCAGGGAAGTCACTGGTGATTGAACTTACCGAGCTATCTTATGATATATCACAAGAATTAAGCTGTAAGGTTGTATTTGAAAATCTAAATGTTACTATCATTGGTAATGAGGCCACGAGTTCCATTAATTGTACTAATAATTCGCAACTAAACTTTATTTTTGAAAATTCCATCGTAGTGCTTCATAAATTGAACTTCATTGGCTGTGGAGGGTTAGTACCATTGTCTAGTTACATTAACAATCAAAATGCCTTCCTAAAATTTAGTAATGAACTACAGAACACAACTTTGCTCTTTGTACATAGTTCATTGCAAGCAGATAATGTTACTATTGAAAGCTATATTGGATATGCAATGATTGGTATTAACATGTGGAAATCAAATTTAACGAAACTCAATGTATCAAATGGTGGAAATTATGAAGGGGCCAGTGGCATTGTAATACAGTACAATGATGACATTAAGAAATATGATCCAAATAGGAAAAATGTGTATGCATTAACTTTTTGGAACTCAACATTTTTTGCTAATTATTACATAAAAGGGTACAATCCTTCAATCCATTACTGTTTCTACAAACGTTATCTATACAGTAATGATAAGACACAAGAGGTGTTCTCTGCTGCAGGACTGACAATATTATACACTCAAACAAAGTACAGAGCTCAAGTTAATATCATGAGCCACTCAACCTTTTTTCGTAACGTTGGTCTACATGCAGGTGCACTAATGATAGTCCATTACATCCCTCATGGATTACAACCTGCAGTACTAAATAGTGCAACTATCATAGAACATACTACATTCAAACGTAATAATAACTATGCATTATGCAGTGGAGCTGCTATAGCATTTTACTGGATAGTGCTTTCAAAACATAACATGTCTGATCATTCACCTCTGAAACCTCTCTTGGTTAACCATTGTAAATTTAAAAAACAAGAGCCACTTATTGAGGCTGATAATTTTTTGGAAAGTCACTACACACCAGGGAACATGTACATTGGAATATTACCAAATCAAGGAAGTGACATACTTATTAACATTTCAAATTCAAACTTTCATGATAATGTTGCTGAAAAAAGCAGTGCTATGAATGGAGCCTGCCTTACAGCAGAGAGTTTTGATTTAGTGAAATCAAATAAAGGTATCACAATAGTCCTGGAAAGTATATCTGCTGATAAAAATTATCAAAATGGTGTAAAACAGATACATGATCATTCCTCCACTGGTATATTCTCATTTTTTAATCTCCCCAGAGTTGAAATTGGTGGAGTTTCTATTTTTGACAATAACGACGGTTCAGTTGTTTATTCAGAGGATTCCAACATTTATTTATCTGGCAATATTGCTTTTAAAAATAATGTTGCAGCGTTTGGTCCTGCAATTAGAATGAAAGGAAAAGGTCAACTTCATTTTTTTCCTGGTCTTCAGGCTCTTTTTCAAAACAACATAGCTGAGAAGCTAGGTGGAGCATTGTACCTACAGAAGGATTCAACCCCATTTGATAATAACTTGTGTGCAATGAATATATCAAGTGATGTTAATCGTAAGGATATCAGGTTTGTTGACAATCAAGCTGTAGATGGAGGAAATACTATATATGCTTACCCTCTCTACTCTTGCTATAATGATTATATTAATGGTGATTACATAGACAACACTAGTTATTATAATGATCAAATGTTTACCATTATCAACACTGCCAGATACAATAGTTCTCTTCTGGAGATCTCCAGTAAACCCAGTAGGCTTTTGTATAACATGAAAAAACTACCCACACATATACATCCTGGAACTACATTTGAAATTGAGGCTGGTGCTTTATTTTATCAAGATTTTGTCTGGGCAAATTTAGCCATCACCATAGAAGCAATAAACTGTACCAACAAAACTGTTAATAGATGCTTGGATTCAAAAACTCTAAAAGGGATGGCACGTCTTCCAGATAATGTTCAATGGCACGAATTGAAAGAAGGTCACAATTATACTGCTATTAACATCACAATACTGGTAAATCATGCATTTTCTGGTTACTTAGAACTAAAAGTAGGCGCTTCAATATTTAATGGAGAATTCACAAATGTTACTGGGTTAAGCCTATATGCTTGTCCATTGGGTTTTCAGCTTAACACTGCTTCAGGTAAATGCGATTGCAGTGAATCTCTTCATCAAATAATGCTTTACTATGATATTCAATGTGACATTAACCAGTTGAAAATTAAAAGGCCAGACTGGAATATACCATGGATTGGTGAGTATGACCCTACTGGGAACAATAATTATACAACTGGTGTATCAAAAACTTGCCCTGTTGAGTACTGCACTGTCAATAAAAAATATCAATTCTTTAAAATCTCAGACGACAAGCAAGTCACTTTATTCAATCCAGAAGATTCAACAGATTATCAGTCTTTATGCCAATTCAATCGTACAGGGGTGCTGTGTAGTCAATGTCCTGATGGTACATCAGTAGTGTTAGGATCACCAGAATGCAAGCACTGCCCAGTTGGTTATACAGTACTAACTGTATTCATCTTCCTACTGGCTGGCCCCTTGCTTATATTCTCCCTGTATGCATTGCAGCTTACATTAACCACCGGCACTCTTAATGGGATCATATTTTATGCACAGGCAGCAAATGCTGGCCTAGTTGATATGCTTGATATCCACCTTGCTGGCCATTCATCATCAGCAGTGTGGGTCATAGGCCGAATCTGCATCACCATCTTATCATTCCTTAATCTTAATCTTGGAGGATTCTCTTTGTGTTTTTTAGGGAATTTGTCTGAGTTGTCTAAAGCTGGTCTCAGTTTACTCTTTCCCATTTATCTACTGACAATTGTTGTTGTCCTCATTTTCTTAAGCCGTTTTTCTCAAAAGCTTTCTAATTACATTTCTCATTCTTCCATTCAAGTTCTGGTTACTGTTGTTCACCTCTCGTTTTCAAATCTTCTTGGCCGAACAATTAAAGTGTTTTCTCCAGCTGTTATATATTATGACAATGGAACGGAAAGGGGCAATTTTCAAGTGCAAGTCTGGTATTATGATGGTGCAGTGACTTACAGTGAATCTCGCCATCTTGCACTAATGATCATCACATTGATAGTAGGAATCATGTTTGTTCTTCCTTATATTGTAATCTTAATCTGTGCCAGGCCGTTACGCCGCTCTCCATTATCAAGCAAGTACCTTCGACCTTTTATAGAAGCAATTCATGCACCATATAAGGAAGGGAAGGAGTATTGGTTTGTCGGACGACTCATTGCTTTGATGATTATCTATGTTCTCTATATGTACTACATCACTGTGTCCATCACCAAGATATATGTGAGTGTGACACCTATCATATCATCCATGTTGTTTTTACAGGCATATTTGAAACCGTTTAAAAAGAAGCTTGTTAACATACTCGACTGCTGGATCATGTTTTTGCTCCTAATCGTTGGGATCATGTCATGGTATTTCTTAGAAGAGAACAACTACTTGGGCTCAAATATCATATGTGAAATCTCTGTGTTTCTGTTTCTCATCACTTTTGTGGTTGTACTGTTTTACCACATTGCTTGGGTCACAGGATTAATAGATTATGCTCAGTATCTAGTAAGAGGGTTTCAGAGGAGAAGGGATGAGCGAAGGAAGAGTCATTTTAGTACAGTTAATGGTGGGACTGATGTGGAGAGAAATGGATTGTCTGCCCGTAACACTGACATGTTTTATGGATCTACGTCATACAGGGAATCCCTACTGAGTTCAGTAACAAGTGACGTTTGACATTTAATTTTTTTCTTCTTTCTCCTTTTTCTCTCTCTCTCTTACATTAAAGCTGAGTGTATATATTTATTCCTTAAGCTGCCTATAATGTATCAGTTTTAAAATGTGCTGTAATTTGCTTTATGCTGGACTACTTTTAAATATAAACTTGCTACTATTACTTTTGCCTTATTTTTATATAGACTATATTATTGTTTTTATTCTTTTAAAAAGTTTTAAAAACTATAATTATAATCATTGTGGAAAAATTTAATCCACAGCGATTCAAAATAACATTAAAAGTGGCGCGTGTTACCATGACAACCCTGGTGATAAATAAATTAAACCGCAGGTGTCATTATTTTGAAATCTTGTCTCTGTATTGAACTCGCTCTTCTTGAACTTAAGAGACTTCTAATAATACAAAGCCTTTCCTCATGACTGAAGAGGAGTCGGCTGAAAAGCCAAAGCCGGATAAATGGGCAAAGGTAGGCTTCTTGACCAGAAAACCCTTTAATTAAAAATGGCTCCAATTTTTTTACAGATGGCCTCTTACCCCATTCCGCTGGACCACTTATCCTCAATGGTGGACTCAGTAAGTTGCGTATAAAAGTGGTTTACAAGCTATTATTACTATCAACAGGTTCTCGTTCCTCTTCTTTCGAGCTCCTCCAATCACGTCAAATGGCCGCAAGTGGTTGCCTCAGATATTAAGAGACATGTTGGTGATTTGAAGAGTGATGTATATGTATTGTCAGGTCTCGTGAAAGGAAAGACCCTCTTACCTCTACCGCCTCAAGTTGATGCGGTCCTGGAAGCAGCTGAACTACAGTTACAGTGAGAAACCTAATCATAGTACATGTACATGTTTTTACACCTATTCCTTATTTTTATTGATTTTTTTTGATTATTTATATGTACACATGTGCATACACTGTGTACATGTAGTGTGAACTAGGTCAATGAATTTGACACCTAAAGCATTAAATAATGTAGAATTTAATGAATGAAGCAACTGTACATTTTAAAAAGTGTGATGATATATTGCATTTATTGTAACATGTACATCTTTATTAGGAAAATATTGATGCACCTATTAATAATGGATACATTGTGTACACTTTATTAGGGGTAAACCATTTGAGAAGAACCTGATTCATACAGTAGAGACAGCAATCATTGATTGGTCCCATCAGATACGAAGTGTTTTAGTTAAAAGCTCAGCTCAGCCTCTCCTTCAAGGACTTGACCCAGGACCACTGGTTGAGATTGAGTACTGGAAACATCAGGTCATTGACCTGGAGAGCATTGTAGAGCAGATGTATGAGGATAAAGCACAGAAGATGACCTGGCTATTGGAAAGGACCAAGAGCAGCTATTTCATTGCATTACAGAACATGGTCAGTATCATAATGTGCACTTAATATAGTAATTATATTCAATTATAATTATAATTATAATGTAGACTGCTGATGTCACTACAGCTCTCAATGAAGCTCAGGATATTTATATTCACTTAAAGCCACTTAGGCCACACTTTGAGGATTTAGAAGAGTGTGACTATCTAGAGATTCCACAGAAGCTGGGACCAATGTTCCACTGTGTGTGCCTTGTATGGTGTAACTGCAGTCATTATCAGCAACCAGCAAGACTAGTGGTACTATTACAAGAAATATCAAACCTAATGATTAATGTGGTAAGATCATGCACATGTACCTATAATGCATGTACAGTGTGTAGTAAATACTAATTATAACACTGAAAGTAGTATAAAGCAGTAGGACACTTGTTCAAACAACTAATCATTATTTTTGTGCATTTTAATCATTCTTCCATTTGCATGTGCTATTGTTATCTTTGTTAAAATAAGCTTGATACATATTGAAATTCTTAAAGCTGTTCTATATGTACATTGCTCACTTTTACTATCATAATGTCTGAGAGTGTTCCTCTACTGGTACACTCTTCATCAGTTAAGAGAAGATGCTCTCCATGTCACTTTCTTCTAATACACTCAAGGGAAGCAGTTTTGGTTCTGTTCTGGGATCTAATCATTGGAATCGCTTCATTTGTTGCAGCTAGTGCTGTGTCTGTTGATTTAGCTCATGTTAGAAAGATTGAACTTGGGCTCTGCCTTTGTTTTATTGTTGCTGGTTATTTAGGAGATTTTCTAATAAGTCATCATAAATTGATCCTTGCTGGATTATATTCTTTGTTTCTTTTAGTCATCCTTATGCTACTAATGGTCTCACTACAACTGGTTCCATCAACTCCTGGCTGTCCTTTAATGATAATTTACATAATCTTTTCTTATGCAGTATTTTTTATTACTATGGCTATTCGTGTTAATTTGGTACCATTCAATATTGATCAGCTCATTGGATCATCAAGTGATGAACTAACTGCTATCATACACTGGCATAATCTTGGTCCATTGTTAGGTTCATTTATTATTTTTAATACCAATTCTCTTGCAACAGAGTACCAGTATATGGTTTGGTTGGGAAGTATCATTGCCTGTGTTGCTACAGTACTAGTCAGTCACAATCTCTTCAATGGTTATCTTGATACTACTCCAGTGAATACAGTTAATCCAATCAAACTGATAGTTAGAGTACTGTGTTATGCTAGGAAGCACAAGTATCCTGAGAATCGTAGTGCTCTGACCTACTGGGAGGAAGAGGCCCCTTCAAGACTAGACCTGGGTAAGGATAAATATGGTGGCCCATTCACAGAGGAAGAGGTAGAAGATGTGAAGACTATTCTTAGATTAGTTCCACTAGTATTTATATGTGGTTTATCTGTAGGCCTGTATGGCCGTTACACTATAAGCATGGATGCAACTTCATATGGTTGTAATGGTCTAAATACTGGGATGTATGTAGAGTTTATAGCATATGTATTTCTTGTAGTATTTATGCTATTTATTTTGAAGCAATCATACTTTCGTAAATACATTCCGAGTATGCTGAAAAGAATAGGAATTGGTCTGGTATTAATATTCATTGTTAATGTTCTTTACACTGGACTAGCATTTATTGGTAACTATAAATTTGGAGAAACATTTCACTGTCTCACTGTTTTTGATAATATATTATTAGCCAGACCACAAAACTGGGTGTATTTTGATGTAATTGTTGAAACTATTTTATGGTACACCAACAATGCTACTTCAGTTGAATTTATACTAGCCCAGTGTCCTAAATCAATGAGAGGAGCTATGATTGGATTGTGGCTTTGCCTCAGGAATTTGAGAAGAGAATTCCAATTTATGCTCATTTTTTTGCCATTCCTCCAATACATGAGCCCGGACATTCCACTTGGAAGAGGTTTTTATTACTTACTTACATTATCTCTTGTGTCTCTATTGGTCCTGGTCTTATTTATATATCTTGCTAAGAGATACAAGTTACGTGTGAGAGAGGTTGAGATCAACATTCATCAGATTGCTGAGAACTACACCATTAGATACATTGAACAAGATGAGGAGCACAGGATCAACTATTCTTCCTCTTCCTCTGATAATGAAGAAGTTTAAAGAAGTTAATTAATAGATCATGTGTGTTTTAACTAGCGTACATGTACATGCAGTTTTTATTTTTAATAAAATAAAAATTATTAAAAAAATTAATTCCTTATCATTAATGTGGTAAAATCATGCACAAGTACATGTACAACATAATGCATGTACAGTCTGTATAGTATAATACTAACTGTGTATTCTAATGGTTTAATAAACATTGAAAGTTATTAGTTTTAATAAGTACAAAGCACTGGTACTGTAACATTTGTTCAAACACGACTAATTTACGTTAATTTTGTGTGCATTTTAGTCATTCCTCCTTTTGCATGTGATTGCCTTTTTTGTTAAAATAAACTTTCTACATATTAAAGTTGCTCACTTTTACTATCATAATGTCTGAGAGTGTTCCTCTACTGGTACACTCTTCATCAGTTAAGAGAAGATGCTCTCCATGTCACTTTCTTCTAATACACTCAAGGGAAGCAGTTTTGGTTCTGTTCTGGGATCTAATCATTGGAATTGCTCAATATGTTGGTCTTAGTGTCATGTCTGATGATTTAGCTCATGTTAGAAAGATTGAACTTGGGCTTGCCTTTACTTTTATTGTTGCTGGTTACTTGGGAGATTTTCTAATTAGTCGTCATAAATTAATCCTTGCTGGATTATATTCTTTGTTTCTTTTAGTCATCCCTATGCTACTGGTGGTCTCACTACAACTGGTTCCATCAAATGACATTATCTTGTTGATTTACATTATCTTTTCTTATGCAGTATTTGTTATTGTTGGGGCTGTACGTGTTAATGTGTTACCATTCAATATTGATCAGCTCATTGGATCATCTAGTGATGAACTAACTGCTATCATACACTGGCATAATGCTGGACCTTTACTAGGTCCATTTATTATTACCAATGCCAATTTACTTGCAACTGAGTACCGACGTATAGTTTGGTTGGGAAGTATCATTGTCTTTGTGACTGCAATACTAGTCAGTCACAGTCTCTTCAATCATTATCTTAATACCACTCCTGTGAATACAGTTAATCCAGTCAAACTGATAGTTAGAGTATTGTGTTATGCCAGGAAGCACAAGTATCCTGAGAATCGTAGTGCTCTGACCTACTGGGAGGAAGAGGCTCCTTCAAGACTAGACCTGGGTAAGGATAAATATGGTGGACCATTCACAGAGGAAGAGGTAGAAGATGTGAAGACTGTTCTTAGATTATTGCCAATGGTGATTATATTTGGTTTATCTGGAAGTCTTTATAACCTATACTCTATAAGCATGGATGCAACTGCATATGGTTGTAATGATCTGAATACTGGGATGTATGTAGAGTTCATGACATATATATTTCTTATAGTATTTATGTTATTTATTTTCAGGCAATCATACTTTCGTAAATACATTCCTAGTATGCTAAAAAGAATAGGAATTGGCCTGACACTTATATTTATTGTTAATGTTCTTTATGTTATACTAGCAATACTTGGTAACTATCATTTTGGAGAGACATTTCACTGTCTCACTATCTTTGATAAAAAATTATCAGCCAGACCACAAAGCTGGCAGTATTTTGATGAAATTATTGGAGCAATTGTCTGGTACAGTAATGATGTTGTTTCAGTTGAATTTATACTAGCTCAATGTCCTAAATCAATGAGAGGAACTGTGATTGCATTGTGGTTTTCACTCTTTAGATTAAGGAGCCAATTCCAGTTTATGCTCATTTTTTGGCCATTCCTTCAATACATGAGCCCAGACATTCCACTTGGAAGAGGTTTTTATTTCTTCCTTACACTGTCTGTATTGTCTCTATTGGTCCTGGTCTTATTTATATATCTTGCTAAGAGATACAAGTTACGTGTGAGAGAGGTTGAAATTAACATTCATCAGATTGCTGAGAACTACACCATTAGATACATTGAACAAGATGAGGAGCATAGGGTCAACTACTCTTCCTCTTCCTCTGATAATGAAGAAGTTTAAAGAAGTTACTGCAACAATTAATAGATCATGTGTGTTTTTAAGTAGTGTATATGTACATGCAGTTTTAATTTTTAATGAAAGAAAATTATTTTTGTAAAAATTAAATTCCTTGCTAATCTTGATGACCACATGATGCAGGTACAATGATACAACCTTTGAATTGCTAAAGTGATATGCATGTATAATACATTTATAGCAACACAAACCATTTGATGTTAAAGTATCTCACTGTTACAAATACATGATTTTTTAGTATAATATTCCCCTTATACATTACTATAGACCGTTACATATATTACTGATGAGATATTGAAGACAGAAGCAGAGGAAGGGATAGAGAAGATACAGGGAGCTCTTAGTGTCTGCAAGAATTATGTTGATGTCTATTACAGCCACAAGTCAAGATTGAAGGATTACTTTAAGGAAAAGCCAGTCATTGAGTGGGACTTCCAATCTACTGTGGTCTTTGGACGATTTGAACAGTTCAGAGAAAGACTGAAAATTATTCACGTATGCGTCTAATGTACAGTATTATAGCCTCTTTATTAAGGACACCATTGGGCCCACACTACCTGTCCTTAATACATGTACAGTGTAGACTCTTTATTAAGGACACCATTGGGCCCACACTATATTTTTTGAAACTTTTTCTGTTAATAGGAATATTTTTGTTTGGTTTTGGAGTTTTTAAAGTTAGAAAAGATTGAGTTTGGAGGCCTGCAAGGGAAATGTTTGAGCGATGAAGTAATCAACATGTTCAACGAGTTTCAAGAACTGATGACACAGCTATCTAACAAGACATACAACCTTCTCATCAACTGCAAAGTATAATTATAACAAGTTGCATTTTCTGATATATATGTATGCACATGCGTACATGTACTTATGTTGCATAGAAATTTAAGTTTGAGCTGATTCTGATTGAAATTAAATTAATTATAAATTTTTAAATTTTCTCAAAAATTGCACAAAAGTCCCTTTACTATAGTACATGTACATGCATACAGACTATGATGGAGTTCTCAATTTTCATTGCTAAAATGCTTAAAGTCTAGGCTCTTACAGTATTAATGTACATGTTTATTGAGGCTTATTATAATTTACATTTTAGGAGTTTCATGACGACTTTAAAATGTTCTTTGATAAAGTGTCACTAATGGAGCAGAGACTGGGCACTATTGTATGCCGAGCCTTTGAAGACTGTGGCAACTGTGAAGCAGTATTCAAGGTACACATCTATAAATACTTGTATGTACATGTAGATGCAATGTAGCTCTTATTGATCATGCACGTGTACATAAATAGATGGGTTAGTGCAGTTTGCTTTATTCATAGTTTATACAAGTGCATAAGTGGTGACCACATACAGCTATGCTTGCCAACCCACGATAGCTTTTGCAAAAATCACTGTATATAAAGCCATGTTGTATCTTATTCATTGTAATATATGTACTTCATTGCAAAAATTTTTGAATGGGTTGATATGATAACCCTGATTTGTTTTATGTAACAAGTATTGTCAACAAAAAAGTAAACATCATGATTAAGTTAACATTAATACAGTGACACTGTGACATGTGTTTGATGTATACATGTAGGTGACTGTTAGGCCATAGTGATGGGCGATTCCAGAAATTTGCATTCGATTCCGATTCTGAATTCTTTTGAGACTGGAATCGATGGAATCAAATACTGATTCCGAGTATTACATCTGCGCATGCGCAAAGCTACGTGTTATCAATTACAGCAATAAAAATGCAATAATGATAAGTAATTGAGGTATTAACTACTGATTAATTAACTATTATTAATATTAAAGGGTGTGGCTGGGTGTGGTTTGATTCGGAATCGTTTCAAACGATTCCTATTTCTCTTTCGATACGAGTACAATTCCATTCGGAATCGAAGAATCTAATACTCCGGACTCGGAATCGCCCATCACTATTAGGCCAGATTATAAGAAGGCTATACTACACATGTATATTGATTCTGAATACTGAATACTGAATTGATGGAATTGTTAAATACATGTAGATCAATAAAACTGATATTAATTCATTTAGGTTTATTGACTACTATTAATGTGAAAGGGTATGGCTAGGGTGTGGTTTACTTTGGAATCGATTCAAACAATCCAGCGTTTCATTTGATACAATCACGAACATTATTATTATATTTATGCCACATTAAATAATACGTGACACAATCTTATTAATAACGTAAAAAGTAAATCACAGCTCAATTTCGAAACACAAAACTTAATTTTCTACCACATAACATATCAGTGAAGAAACCCTAGGCCTGTTGTATAAGATGTATTTACCCAGTATATTACATTTATGTAACTCTGTCAGTGTGCAGAGGTACAAAAAACATGCACTTTTGCTTTGTTATTCATAGTTTATACAAGTGCATTAAGTGTTGATTGACCACAAACAGTCAGTCATGCAACCCACGATAGCTTTTACAAAAATCACTGTATATAAAGTTACAGTCTACTGAAGACTTGCATCTTGTCATTTATAATTATTTAAAATTTTTGAATGGGTTAATGTAACCCTGTTTGTATTAAATTTATTTATTCACCAAAACAATATATGTAATTTGTTATTATTTACATGTAATTTGACATTCTATATTATCTTGAAATTTTACTGTCAGACTTTAATTTTGCTGGATTAGAAATTAGAGATCACTCATATAATTACATGCACATGCCACATTCAATAATACATGACACAGCTAGTCTTTTATTGCATGAAAATAAAACCACTCACAGTGCAATTTTGAAACTCAAAAACTCTCTACCACATAACATTAATTGCTGAATTACAGTGTATACATGTATATGTACCATATTTCCATCCTCTAGTTGATTGATATGCTGGGGACCCTACTGGACCGACCCATTATTCATAAAACATTTGAGCCCAAGTACAAGATACTCATTGATATGTGCAGTAAAGAGCTGGACACAGTTAAAGTCCTCTACGACCAGCAGTTGGCTAGCATGAAGAGTCCAACGGGTCCCATTGTTAATAAGAACATGCCTAAGGTATCAGGATCACTCCGCTGGAGTCAGCAGCTTCATGATAGGATTGAACTCACCATGGGGAAACTACAAACACTGAGTTGCATGTAATTCATTATTTAATGCATGTACATGTACATGTAATTATTAATGTGTAATGCGTTTACTCTCTTATTGATGATTTGGCCGAGCTACATGTAGCTGGTTCAAAGTGCCTGCATGATTTTATTTTGGTAAATGATTATCGAAATGCCAAATTTACCAGCTCTCGTATATTGATTATTGTAATATCATAATTGGTGTATGTACATGTACATGTTATTATTCATCTTATTGCTTTATCTTTATAGTTCAAGGGACAGTCCTGATACTAAGGATGTATTCAGTAAGTATGATGAAATGATGAATTATATCAGCAGGTTAGCTATCATTATCATTAAATGTATTATTACTATTTCATTGTTAGTTTTGAAGCTGATGTCTTCACAAGGTGGGCCAGTGACATTGAGACAATAGCTAAGACTAACCTTGAGAAGCCACTGCTAGTCTGGGAGACAAAGGATGGGAAGGAGGTGTTGAAAGTGAACTTTGACCCTGAAGTAAGTACATGTACAATTGAATGCATAGGGTACAATGTATATATACATTTAATTCTATGTATTATACATACTGATACATACATACATGTGCATTAATTGTGTCAGAAACTTGGAGTAAATTAATTCATATATGTGAGCATTATTGACCATTATTATAAGTACATGTATATAATATATTGTTTTAATAGCTGGTAGCTTTATTGAGGGAAGTGAGGTATCTGAAGCAGCGTGATGCCCCACCAGATCAGGTCATACCAGACAGTGCACTAGCAGTGTACTCCAATGAAGACACTTATAGGAAGTTCCTACAGAACCTTGATGTGGTTGTCACACTATACAATAAGGTATAGAGCATTGTTAGTAAGTATAGTATCTTTTAATTAATTTATTTATTATTTTTAATTATAGTTGAAGGCTACTGTGCTAGGGGTTGAGGCCCCATTGATTGATAGGCAGATGACTGCCATTGATACTGAACTGAACAAAGCCATTGAAGACATTAACTGGACAACTGAAGGTATACATTATTATTATTATTAATGTACATTTATTATTATGTATTATAGGTGTATGGGGGTATATACAGGGTACTAGGGATATGGTACGGGATTTAGAGAAGAGGGTCAAACTGGCCAAGTGTAATGTTGACACTATTAACAGTATATTAGCTAAAATCTGCCAGAAACCACTCTATCAGAGAAAGGATGACAAGAAAGACTGTCTACTAAACCTTGAGGTACATGTACATGTATGCATGTACATGTAGAATACTGGTATAACACATAATTGGTACTTGTATGGACAAAAATATTGCTAATTTTTTTGCTATAATAATGTTTTATTGCTCAAAGTTTGCAATAAAATTTCAAAGATAAATTGAAAATAAGAAGATATAAATGTATTTATGAGTGCATATATTATTATTATTATTATTATTATTACTATTAATTTATTTCAGGATCGTGAGAACATTCGTAAGGTATACTACGACACAGTGAGCACAGAAGGACAGGCCATACACAAACTAGTGATGGAGAACAGACAACACTTTCAAGCAGAAGAGGACTCAGACATATGGAAGAATTACCTCAACTATATTGATGAAATAACACTAAAAGGACTCTTCAACTGCGTCCATACATCACTCCAATACATACTCCAGAACATTGACAAGGAGAAACCTGACCTGCCTCCTCTCCTTGAAATAAAACTAGAGCTACAGGCTCCTGAAGTGATATTCCAACCATCACTTGAGCCTGATGCCCCTACAGGATTCTGCCATCTTGTTGAGGAGCTACTAGAAGACATGTTCAACGTTGCTTCATTGGTACCGCGAGTTGCTTCACATAAAGACCATTCCAATTACTTACCTGATGTAGAGGAGATGTCAGAGCTATTAGACATGAGGGAAGAGATTGTGTCACGAGTTGGAGCTGCTATTGATAAAGCAGTTGAGTATCGTAACTCGTTTGATTCATATGCTTACCTGTGGGTTGATGACAGAGTAGAGTTCATGAAGCAGTTCCTATTGTACGGTCATGTATTGACTGCTGATGAGATAGAGCTAGCTGGTGAAGAGGGAGTACCTGAATCACCTCCAACACTAGCTCAGTTTAAGGACCAGGTTGATGGATATGAGCAAATTTATACTGAACTGTCTCAACTCAATGTAAATATGTAGCAGTAATAGTGTAGCCTTTTTATTAAGGACACCATTGGACCCACACTACCTGTCCTTAATACATGTACAGTGTAGCCTCTTTATTAAGGACACCATTGGGCCCACACTACCTGTCCTTAATACATGTACAGTGTAGCCTTTTTATTAAGGACACCATTGGACCCACACTACCTGTCCTTAATACAAAGGTGTCCTCATTTCAGAGGTACTTTTGTATAGGCTTGTACCAATTGGGACATTACAAAATGTTCTCATTATAAAGGTGCCCTTAATATGTAGAGGCTATGCTATATGAATATATACATGTACAGTACATGGTATATTATTATTTGTATGTGCTCTAGGGTTGTGTGGTGTTTGATAAATGGTACAGAGTTGATATTAGACCATTCAAGATGGCACTGCTCAATATAGTAAAGAAATGGAGCTACATGTTCAAGCAGCATCTTGTGGATCATGTTACTAACAGTCTCTCTGACCTAGAGCAGTTCATCAAAGTAGGTTACATATGTACCAGTACATGTATAATATTATTAGGTCATTATTATACCATGAATATAGGCCACAGTTTTCTAAAATTGGCTCAAAAATATTTACTTAATTTACGTCATTTAAAAAATGTAATTATTACTTTTCTTTATTCATGTTGATTCTCTATTCCCATGCATGTACAGTACATGTACATGTATAAACTGATGCTAATTGTGTACTGTACCTTTAATTCATGTATATTATGTACCAATTCCTGTTAGGTTGCAGTTAGTGGTTTGGGTGTTGAGATAGAGGAGGGTAATTACACCAAACTAGTTGAAGTGATGGGTCACCTAATGGCAGTGAAGGACAGACTCCAGAGCACTGATAATCTCTTTGAGCCGCTCAAGCAAACCATTGAACTACTCAAGACTTATGGACAGGACATGTCTGAAGAAATATATCACCAATTACAAGTATGAGTAACACATTTACCCTAGCTCTTTATTATAAGGACCTGTCCTTAATACAGAGGTGTCCTCATTTCAGAGGTACTTTTGTATAGGCTTGTACCAATTGGGACATTACAAAATGTCCTCATTATAAAAGTGTCCTTATTATATAGACTACACTATACTTGATGTTTTCTATCATTATTAATGTTATTATTATTATTATTGTTGTTGTTGTTAGGAACTCCCCGAGCAGTGGAATAATGTTAAAAAGCTGTCAGCAGTCATGAAACAAACAGTAGCTCCACTGCAGGCCAATGAAGTCAACATTATAAGAAGGAAACTAGCATCATTTGATGTAAATATATTTATAATAATAATATTTATACAGCACATGTAACATGTATTATTGCTATGCTTGTGTTGTAGGTTAAGCAGCACGAGTTTAGAGAGAAGTTCAGAAGTACTGCTCCTTTTTCATTCACTTCAGATTCAGTTTACCAAAGGATTGACATGGTATAATATACACATACACATACAGTATATCATTATATTCATGCAATGTACTTCATATGTCACTAAATTATGCATGTACATGTACATGTACGTATATTTTAATTTTCATTTACTATAGGCTAATATTGAAGTCCTCAGTATGGAGTCCAGTATGAAGGCGCTATATGAGTCAGCTGGTCTATTTGAAGTCAGTGTGCCTGAATTTAAACAACTCAAAGCTTGTAGACGTGACATTGTAATGCTTAAGAGCCTGTGGGACACTATAGTCCTAGTACAGAGCAGCTTTAATGACTGGAACGGGACACTCTGGAAGGATATCAATGTGGAGCAGATGGATATGGACTGTAAGAAGTTTGTGAAGGACATACGTACACTGGACAAGGAAATGAGAGCATGGGATGCTTTCACTGGTGAGATATACATGTACATGTACATGTACTTGAATACTTGTGTACATTTCCATGCATACAGTACATGTATACACATGTACATGTAGTAGACTAGTAGTAAAATCTAATAAAATGGCTGTAACTCGAAAAATTGAAGCCGGAATTAGCTCAAACTTTCTACACAGCATAAGAACATCAATATGTATCAGAAAATGTAATAAAAATTTGGGGTGATTTCGGAGCCATTTTTTGAAAAAAAACCATGGGCTATAGCCTTGGGTATTTTTAGAATTTTGACGTTTTCTTAAAATGGCCGTAACTCAAAAAATTGAAGTCGGAATCACCTCAAACTTTCTACACAGCATAAGGACATCAATATGTTTCAAAAAATGTAATAAAAATTTGGGATAATTTCGGAGCCATTTTTTGGAAAAAACCATGAGCTATATAGCCTTGGGTATTTTTCAGAATTTTGACATTTTCTTAAAATGGCCGTAACTCGAAAAATTGAAGTCGGAATCAGCTCAAACTTTCTACACAGCATAACGACATCAATATGTATTAGAAAATGTAATAAAAATTTGGGTGATTTCGGAGCCATTTTTTGGAAAAAACCATGGGCTATAGCCTTGGGTATTTTTCAGAATTTTGACATTTTCTTAAAATGGCCGTAACTCGAAAAATTGAAGTCGGAATCACCTCAAACTTGCTACACAGCATAAGGACATCAATATGTATTAGAAAATGTAATAAAAATTTTGGGTGATTTTGGAGCCATTTTTTAAAAACCATGGGCTATAGCCTTGGGTACTTTTCAAAAATTTGCTAGTTTTAAGAATAGTCATAACTGTTTTAAAATCACCTCAAACTTTCTACATACATTGTACATTGTAGTGTATTGCTTTTTTCATGTTTATTTTGTATATTCGTTAAGGTTTGGATTCAACTGTTAAGAATATGGTCACATCACTAAGAGCTGTTGGTGAACTACAGAACTCTGCCATCAGAGACAGACACTGGCTTCAATTAATGCAAGCAACACAAGTACAGTTTGTATACATATAATGGCATCCATGACATATGTACATGTACATGTACATTCATTTCCATCTATATTTCATTAGGTTAAATTTGTCATGTCTGATACTACTAACCTCGCTGATCTTTTAGCACTAAACCTTCACAACTTTGAAGACGAGGTAACTACATGTACATTATTAATTACCTACATGTACATGTACAATGTACATTCGTATACATGTACATGTATTTACACATACGTGTATACATGTACATACATGTAGGTTCGTAATATTGTTGATAAAGCTACTAAAGAGTTGAGTATGGAGAAGACACTAAAGGAATTAGACAAGACATGGAGTGAGATGGAGTTTGAGTCTGAGGATCATGCAAGAACTGGTCTCAAACTATTGAAAGCAACCGAAGAACTCATTGAAACGCTAGAAGACAACCAGGTACTGTGCAATATACGTACATATGTACATGTATACATGTATGTATTTGTAAAATATATAATTATTAATCAGCTAATTATTGGGCTTGCCCAGGCGAGCCTGCATGGTGAGTTTTTTAGCTAAATAAAGCACATTGTATCTCTATTAAATGATGCAATGTAATTGGTCAATTGTACATTATTCTGATATTTATTCTAATTATTGATACATACATGTATATAGGTCCAGCTCCAGAATATGATGACCTCAAAGTTTGTCGGTTATTTCTCTGAGAGCGTCTCCGACTGGCAGAAGAAGCTCTCCAATGCCGACTCAGTCATTACTATATGGATGGAAGTACAGAGGACCTGGTCTCATCTGGAGAGTATATTCATTGGGTCTGAAGATATTAGAGCACAGTTACCGGAACACTCAAAGACATTTGACACCATTGATAGCGACTTCAAGGTATACATGCATGTACATTTATACGTGCATGTACATTAGCTGAGGAATTTATATGTATGTGTACATGTACATGTAACGATTGTATGGTTGATCATTTTGTGTGTGTATTTATTTCAGAGGTCATTAGAGGAAGTAGCTCTGACTCCTAATGTAGTAAAAGCTACCAATAGACCAGGTCTGTATGATGAACTGGAAGATATCCAGAAAAGGTAAAGTATCATTTAATATCATTTATTTATTTATTTATAATATTAATTGTAGACTCTCTGTGTGTGAGAAGGCTCTTGCTGAATATCTTGAGACCAAGCGTCTTGCCTTCCCTCGGTTCTATTTCATCTCATCAGCCGATCTCCTTGACATATTGTCCAAAGGAAACCAACCAACACAAGTAAGTACATATGTATACATGTATTATACAGTATTATAGATATGTGATGTACATTATACATGTACATGTACGCATACAGTACTATATGTGCATACATGTACATGCCCAGTATATCTCAGCCCTTAAGTATTAATACATGCATACCTTGAGGACACACTGTATTATGCATAAGTGATTTATCATTATATATAGTTCTCACTGTGTGACATTGTGTGCTGTAGGTTGCTCATCATTTATCAAAGTTGTTTGACAGCATGGCAAAGCTCAAGTTTAAAACAGACGCCTCAGGAGTTGAGTCACCAGACGTTACTGTTGGAATGTACAGCAAAGATGGAGAATATGTTGACTTTGATGAGCCCTGTGTCCTCTCCGGTCAAGTTGAGCTCTGGCTCAATAAACTATTGGATAGGATGCAAGCTACAGTGAGGCATGAGTTCTCAGAGTCTGTGGTAGCTTATGAAGACAAGCCAAGAGAGCAATGGCTGTTTGAATTCCCTGCTCAAGTAGCTTTAGCAGGAACACAGATATGGTGGACGACTGAAGTGAATATATCCTTTGCAAGGCTAGAGGAAGGATATGAGAATGCTTTGAAGGATTATTATAAGAAGCAAGTCTCACAGTTGAATACGCTCATTAACCTCCTCCTGGGTGATCTAAGTAAAGGAGACAGACAAAAGATAATGACCATATGTACTATTGATGTGCACGCTCGTGATGTTGTTGCTAAATTGATATCTCAGAAGATTGAGAGCTCTCAGGCCTTCCTTTGGTTGAGTCAGTTGCGTCATCGCTGGGATGAGAACCTGAGGCATTGCTTTGCTAATATCTGTGACGCACAGTTCCAGTATACTTATGAATATCTGGGGAACACTCCTAGACTAGTTATAACACCCCTCACTGACAGGTAATGTAGTATTACTATTATTATTTAATGTATAGTGTGTTTTTAATTGTGTGTATTACCTTAGAGTGACTTTTAATTGCGGGTACTAAATTTTGCGATTTTAGCACAAGGTAGATTTTGCTGGTATTAAAAATTGCGATTAAGTAATTATTACTAATAGTTATATGGCATAATGATGTCATTATTAATAATTGCGCGTATTAATAATTGCGATTTTTAACCCAAACGCAAAATTCACAATTAATAGTACCCGCATTTAAAAGTAACCTTAAGGTACATGTACCATGCATGTACATGTACATGTAGAGGTATCCTTCTTTGAAGCATAAATTAATAATAATAGTACTTATGGAATACTGGCTGAACTATTATGATTAGTAAAGCTGAACCCCCAATACATTAAAGATGCTAATATTAGTATACACACACCTCAAATACGGCTTGTTTGTGATGCTTATGGTACGTATACTTGCTACATTACCCTTGCTCTGTGTTACTCTTAACTCAGTTTAAGTATTCATTCATTCATTCATTATACTGACAATTTGTTGAAATAATTAATTTTAATATTCAAATAAATATAGCTAGCCTAAAATAGAATAAACTGTAGCAAAAAGAATTAGTTAATACAGTAGCACTTCCATCAGCTATTTAATTGAGCTGTGAATAACTTGTGGGATTTCTAGTGTTCGGTAATAAGCTAGCACCTTCATCTCCTCCAGAACTTGTGATGATATTCAATTCTTCCTGTGTCATCTCATCAGTAGTATTGTTTTCTGGGTCATTCCTCTCTTCTCCTTCATCATCAGGAGCTATCTTACGGTAGGCAACTTGAGCAATTGTTTTCATCTCTTCTTCAGTGATAGTGTCCTTGCCTTTGCCTTCCTTTTCTTCTGAATCAATATCGTAATAATAAATATCAGCCACTGCCTTCTTGCATTCTAGTTCTGCCAGTTCCAATAGCAGATCAACTTGAATTGGGTGATCCTGAACTCTTTCCCTTACTCTATTCTTTATTTCTTCTAAAGCCCTTACTTCTTCTCCTTCCTTATTCTCTACTGCCTCTTTACAGTGATCTGCGAGGGATTTTGATTTCTTTTGATCAGGAACTATTGCTATTCCTGAAGCCAGGATAATGCCAGCTAATCCAATATACACATGTAGTAAATGGAAATTTTTGATGGGTATCATTATTGTGGAGGTGACAGTCATCAGTTCTACTACTCCACATCACTTCAGTGGCTCACTAACTATTAATGCTTTGAAAAATTAAGTTGAAGCTACAAATGCCTTTAAAGATTCACTATATTTTTATGCTGCATGTGTATGGTAACTTGAGTATTATGGAATATGATACTTTATGTATGTATTGTTTCATCCCTAAAGTTGCAACTGATAGTAATATAATAGGATTTCTGATACATGCTCATTATATTGCATTACACTACCATTAGGGGGTGTAACACTGCTTACAGTACACAACAGTGTCATATTCTAAAGCCCTATTTACACTATGCCCTTAAAGCGGTTTGGAACCGGTTTAGAAATAAATCGGTTTAGAAATAAATCAGTTTACGTGTGGACAATTTCAATGCGGTTTGAAACCGACTTATCTAAACCACCTCAGGAGGTGGTTTGAGATAATCAAACCGGTTTAAGTACTGAAGCGGCTGTATTATGTATACAATGTAGCATTGTAAACTGATTCAACCACAGTTACGTGTGGACACAATTAAGCTGGTTTCTGAACCGCTTTGATCCAAACTGGTTTGTAGTGTAAACGGGGCTTATGCTAGCATTAGAAGCATGATAGCAAGTTAATAATACATTTACCTGGACACACCTTTCATTTGCTAATACTTTGTAATGAAAAATTAAATGCTAAGCCAATGCATTCAGTGATTTAGATACCAAAGGAAGATTCACCAATCTAACTTTCCTGAGGTTATTATGTACCTGGTACAAAGCTAGATTACAATACACTGAGTCAATTCATTGTCGTCAGTTCCACAGAACACAACATAAGACTACATGTACATTGTAAACTGTGACTGGTCCTTGTTTCATTCTCTGGAACAAACAGCAATGAATGGAGTTATGTATAATGTAGCTTTAATGAAACTCAGCATTATATTTTATAAACGTAAACTGTGCAATAACATGTGTACCTGTAGGGTATTCTTTCTAAGATACATTTTCATATTATTAGTTAATAGCCATTATACTCAAAATGATAAAATTAATTAAACAGCTAGCTAGTATCTGGAAAAAATAGAAATAGCTAAAAAATAATTAGTTATTCTAGCTTCTACACGTCGCAGCTGGAATAGGCTTTATTATTTCCACTGTCTCCTAATAACCTAGAAGATTCACTTGCTTCTCCAGAATTTTTGCTAGTGCTGGTTTTTGTTTCTGTTAGTTCCGTGTCTTCAGCAGTTTTATCGTTTTCTGTGATTGGATTCTTTAGACTAGGGAATACTGTAAGCCCTGAAAACAGATTAATACTGATTAATAAAATATCTAAGACTTCTTTTAGGGGTAGGATGTATGTTGCAACAAAGATGATTAGTAGAAATGTTGTGGCTATGATACAGAGAGTGAAAACTAAATGAAAGACAATTAATGCTGCTAATTCACAGCTATCACTTCTACAACATGGTAACTGCTTAGCCTTGTCACAACAAGATTCATAGAGGTTTAATTTGATCCACAGCATGATAGATACTGATAACCATAATAGTGTCAGTATAGCTGCTGCATGTCCTATTCCTGTTGCAATATCCAAGTTCCAGCCAATGCATGTTATCCTTGCTGCTGTTTCCATTTTTGCTTGTTCTTCTGACTCCACCTCAATTATTGAACCATTGTTGTAGAGGGCAAAGCAGTTGAGTCCATCATAAGGATTGTACCTACTAGTGATACTAAAGAAAGTATTGAATAAGACCATGAATATAATGAAGGCAACAACTAGTATTACGTAATAGAAATGAGCTGAGATATATTTTGGAGAAATAGGAAAGTCAAATATTACGATAATATTATCATTTTTTTATGATGCTTAATCTATGGAAACACTTTCATTAGCACCTCCTCTTTTTCAAAAGAGCAACATCCAACTATTCCTACTATGATTCCTGTGAAAAATGAAATGCTAGCAAGTATAATAGTAGTTGTCACAAAAGTAATGATATCCATTGTTTCTCTCTTGTTGATGTTGACAGCAACTTTTCTTTGAGGAGTTTGATCACTTCCAACTTTGGAATAGCTTGACTTAGTTGTATGTGAAGTGACTGATGCCCCTTAAATATTGTAGCTGATCGTATGATTGATAGTGTAGTATGTTTGTTAATAGTTAGTAGTGGGGCTTCTAAACAAGGACTTGTGATGACTATAGACCTTTCCCACCAATGCAGCGTTTAGCAATGAATATCATTAACGAGCCGCCATGTTGTGGGATAGATGTACAGAGACGAATGGGCAAAAAGTGACTTTTCCCATTTTCCTTATAAATGCAAGCTCTGGTTCACACAGAAATGCTCATTGCACATTTGTTGCACAATTTTAGTTATCATACTGCAATTTGGTCTTTGCTTTCGCAGTTATCTTGGAGGAAATAAAGAAATAGTGCTTTTAGCCCATCCATCACTGTACATCAATCCCACAAAATGGCGGCTCGTTAATGATATTCATTGCTAAACGTACAGTGGTGGGAAAGGTCTATAGTTTATGAAAACAGTATACGCAAAGAAATTTTGTTCCTGAGAAATCACTTACTTATATTTATTTTCCTACTATATGCAGTTCTACATGTAATTGACTAATCAGATTCCTGATGCAAGGTTCATAAAAAACTTGCAATGGCTGACTTTATCAGGAGATCGATAAAATTTATGAACTCCAAATTTAGGCTCACATATTATGCTCATAAGTGCTTCAATTATTTGATGCAGTATTGCTCATAAAATCTCATCACTATTCTTCACAAACAGTACAATATGCTCTCAATTATGCTTCATAACAATCATAAACATTCATTATCAAAGGGTATTTTAAAACTTTAAAAGGGTTGCAGCAAAAATATCAGTTTCAGATTTCTTACGATGATCTTTTCAACCATTAAATTCTGGATACCATATACAATGTAGCTGGAAAGTTTTGTGGCAAAAAACTTCAGTGGTTTGATATAGCAATTTGTAGTTTTTAATTTCGTCGGTGTCATTCCAAACCACAAAAGTTTTTGGCCATTAGACTTTTTGACTATGTGGTATTTTGCTTTTTATGCTGTAATTCCCAGATACTTGCGGCATAATCCTTGTATTTGTCTACCTAGTTATTACACTCAGTTTTATGCTAACTGGGCATGGTAGAAGTACAATGTAAATGTAGCACATGTATATGGTAGGTCATGTAGGTTGTTCTACTCTCTGTTGATTCAACTTTGTATTCATGGCCTTACTGCTCTGTTGTGATAAATACCATTTCTATTCATTGTATAACATGTACTGTGCACCACTCTAAAGCAGTGCCCATAACGGTTGTGGTAGCAATTATGATAGATAGCATTGTGTGGCAACTGTCCTTTTTACTACCAATTACTATGAATTTGCATAAGTCAGCATAATATTATAATAATAGTATATTATTCTGTATCCTTTAGCAAATTTTCATTTATTTTTTGTTCTGAGGAGTCATTTTATGATCACAAGGCATTTGGGATTTGGGAGCACCTTTTTATTTCCCAAATATCCATTCTTTGCACAAAAACCAAGATGAATGCTTGCTCCTTTACATTGTAAATGTACTTTACATTGTAAATGTACTGTACATGTATTATGAGTTAAAATCATCATCATCATCATTATTATTAAACATCATTTACTACATTTTATTTACTACATTTGTATGTATACATGTACATGTATGTAGACACATATGTTATTTTACACATATGGAATGTTAAGCTGCACATGACGGTATGTCACATGAAAGTCACATGTGCTTAAAGTGCATCCATATGCACATGTAGTGTGTGTACTTGATAATGACATATTGTTTTATTAACATTCAAAAAGCTAACATCTAAATATAACTCTAACTGACAACAAAAGCAACAGTAGTAATTGGTAGCAGTTACAATTAGTATAGTAGGGAAAACTATAGTAAAGTCATTAGTACAACTATAGCAACATTCATTAAGTCTTTATGTAATATGTAAATAGTTATTGCTATTTTTTCCGGTGTTTCCAAGTAGCCTATCACTTTCTGTTGGGACATTGATAGATGCACCTTGGCTTGTATTATATCGTTGGCCATTATTATTCTCCTCTCCTCCATCATTTGTGGTTACCTTGCGGTAGGCAACTTGAGCAATTGTCTTCATCTCATTTTCGTTGATATTGTACCTTTCTTCTTCAGTACCATAGTGATACATGTCACCCAGTGTCTTCTTACATTCTAATTCTGCCAGTTCCAATAGAAGATCAACTTGAATTCGATGATCCTGGACTCTGCTTCTTCTTAATCTGTTCTTTATTGGTACTAAAGCTCCTTCTTCTTGTCCTTGGTTATCATCTACTGCTTCTCTACAGTATTCTGCTAGGGATTTTGATTTCTTTGGACCAAGGAGTATTGCTATTTCTAAATTCAGTACAATAAAGATCAATAAGATATCTAACATAGCTTTTGGATGAAATTGAAATGATGAAGAAAGAATTGAAGAAACAAATATATATGCATATCCTCCTATCATTATAACTGCAGTACACGACAAGAAAAAAAATTTGAGATACTATGAATGCACAAGAGCAACATCCACAAAGTAGTACTTTACGATTCTGCCTGCAAGTAACAAGTTTGTACCACCACTTTATTTTAATCCACAGTACAATGGATACTAATATCCATAGAAGTGTCAGCAAAGCTACTGTGTGCCCTATTGCTCCTGCAATATCAAAATTCCAACCGACACATACTAGTGATACATTCTCAGCTTGTTCTTCTGAAGTGACCTTAATTGTTGAGCCATTGATGTAGCTGTACCCATAACAGTTGAGTCCATCATAAGGATTGTATTTAAAAGAGATGGAGACAATAGTATTACACAAAATATCAGCTAGAGTGTATGCAACAACGACTGTTAGTTGACAGTAAAGCCACTTGATAGATTTTTTGCTAATGATATATCCAAATATCACATTATGGCTGCCACTCTTTTTTATGTATGGAAACACTTTCCTCAACATCTCTTCTGGTGTGAGACAGACACAGCCAGCTATTGCCACTATAATTGTTAAGATAAATGGCATCAGAAACAGTATACCATATAGTATTAAGAAGATAATAGGCTGCTGCAATGTCATTGTTCTTCTTCCCTTCCCTTTCTTGTCGTTGGCAAATGTCCTAAGAATACAGCAACAGTTTCCTTTGAGAGATTCTGTGGATAGACTAGTAATAAGTATTCTAATAACTGTGCATTCATCAACATAAGTGCTGAATGCACATGCTGAGTGTGCCATATTATCTATTCATGGCAGTAGTACACTACATACGTGTACATGTACCGTATAGGGCATAATGTTTGCGGGATGCAAATTTTGCAAAATCTACTAAAATTCTAATTTGTGGATTTTAATGTCGAGAATTCTACCACGTGTGCCATGTGGGTACCATATTAAATTGATATTCAAGACTTATAGAAGTTCTTTCTACATTTACCTTGTAATGCTTATAGAGACAGTATCTCTATGTTCTCATATTTTTATGTTTTCTAAGAAAGTTCAAAACTTTGTCCCATGTGTTAGCCTTTTAAAAGACATGGATGGGGTTGGCTGCTAAGGCCTGCTAATTTCTTATTTCTACAATACAACGTGTGTATAAGAAATATAAGTGTGGACATACATGTAAAAATATATATCACACAAAGGTGATAGATGTAGTGCATCTTTTTATATTCATAATCAGTTGCAACAGGTGTTATATCATTTTTATTAATATTGTTGAGTAATATCATAACTTATAATTAATAACGTAATTAATAACATAAACAACTATTAACTAGTCAAAATATTATAAAATTAATTAAACAGCTAGCAACTAATATTAAAGTAGTGAAACCAATATGCAATTATTTCTAGCATGTTTTAATAATCTAGCACATTCTTCTTGCAAAAGATTGTATCAGAAGCAGTTTCCTTGGTTTTTATTTTGCCTTAGTTACCTTACCATAGGCAACTTGAGCTATTATCTTCATCTCCCTTTCACTGATAGTATCGGAATTTGTTTCTGCTTCCTCTTCCTCCTCTGTTTTCATACATGAACAATTAGCCTTACATGTATTTGCAAAATTTTCCATACATGTACATGTATGTCTATTCTTGTCTTTTTTAATACCATAATAATAGATATCAGCCAGTGTCTTCTTACATTCCAATTCTGCCAGTTCCAAAAGAAGATCAACTTGAATTTGGTGACCATGGACTCTGTTTTTTATTTCTTCTAAGTCTTCTTCCTTTCTCCCTTGCCTCTTCTCTACTGCCTCTTTACAGCAGTCTGCTAGGGATTTAGGTTTCCTATGAATAGGGAATATTAAGGATCCTGACAGTAGAATAAGAAAGAATAATATGATATCTAATAATTGGTATATGGATAATATGTTGATTAAATATCGAAATGCAACCATTGGTACGAAGCTTCCTATAAGACATGCAGATTGAAGTAGAATTAATCCCATGTAGCCTAATAAGCCGCGAATTAAATTGCCCTTTTTTATAGTGATGTTTACTTTGTAGTACAACTTCAATTTAATCCACAGCACAATAGATGAAAATAGCCATGATAGTGTCAGTATAGCTCCTGCATGTCCTATTCCTCCAGCAATATCAAAATTCAAGCCATAGCATGATATTCCTGTTACATTTTCTGATTCTGCTTGTTCTTCTGAAGTCACCTTAAGTTCAGAGCCATTATCGTAGTACCCAAAACAGTTCAGTCCATCATAAGGATCATACTTAGTAGAGATAGTGAGGAAAGTATTGAATAAAACAATAAAAAGAATCCATGCAATAACATACATTGTATAAATCCACTGCCCTTTAAATAATTTTTTTTGAATTATATAACCAAATATTGTAATATCGTTACCACTCTCTCTGATGTATGGAAACACTTTCCTCAGCACCCTCTCTGGTGTGAAGTAGATCCATCCGACTATTAGCACTGCAACTGATATGACAAAAGAAGTGACAAATATTACAACTGTAATTGTCACAAAAGTATTGAGATCCATTATTTTTTCCTTTTTAATGATAAATTTTTAAAGATTAGCACAGCAAAACTTCCCCAGAGAGATTCTGATCACTTTAGCCCTGCAACAGCTTGACTGACTACTCTCTGATAATGACACCCCTTAAATACCATAGCTGGTCATAATGATTATGATAATATTTATTGTGAGCTCAGCAAAGCAGTTTCTTGGAATTATTTTCATTGTAGTACATGTGTGAATAGTTAGTACTACTAACACTACAATGAGAATAATTCCAAGAAATAGAGCCAGCACATTCCTTTTTGTGAATACACTTTAGTCTGTTTTAGAGACAAATATTCAAGAATTACATTTTTTCAAAATTAGCAGAAATTTTGGGCCGCTACCTACATGCATTTAGCCAATGAACAGTAAATATATTATTCATAGTATTCATGATACAGGTGCTAATTTTATATTGACATTCATTGTCAACCAGTCAACATTTTTGGGCTACAGCAACGTACATGTACATGTAGGATCTTATAGATAATACAAAGTTCCACCTTTTTACATTACCTTTTGTTTTTTGGAGGCTCAAGACTAACCTGGAAGAGTAGGCTGAACTGTTTTTGCCTGTTGTTTCATTAACAACAGTGCGCTATGTTCAAAATGGTTGTTTGTATGAGTTGTGATTGAATAAGTGTGTGTACTGTAAAGCAGTGTTTCAAGTATCCTTCAAAGATTGTAACTGAATTTAATTAAGATGTGTGCATACGTGTATATGTTTTTTTAAATAAAACATCTGCAGTAGCTTGACTGAGATTCAGCTGTAATATGACACCCCTTAAAAGTTGTGACTGGTCTAATAGTGGCATTAGGAAGGAAATTTCTTGGAATTATTTTCATTAGAGTACATATACATGATGTGTGAAAACTGTGAATAGTTACGAGTGGGGGATCCTTCCATAAAAGGACTTGTAATGAGTATGTCTCACATAGCTAGTTTTACACGTATGCAATGTTAAGCTACACATGACGGTATGTCACATCAGAGTCACATGTACTGAAGGTGTATTGATAATGACATATTGTTATATTAACATTTAAAAAGCTAAAATCTAAATATACACATGTAACTCTAACTGACAACATAAGCAACAGTAGTAATTGGTAGTAGTTACAATTAGTATAGTAGTATAGTAGGGAAAACTATAGTAAAGTAAGTATTATAGCAACATTATCAAGTTGTTAGTTAAAATGTGAATAGTTATTGTTATTTCTTCCGGTGTTCCCTAGTAGTCTATCTCTTTCTGTTGGGACATTGATAGATGCACCTTGTCTTGTATTATATCGTTGGCCATTATTATTCTCCTCTCCTCCATCATTAGTGGTTACCTTACGGTAGGCAACTTGAGCAATTGTCTTCATCTCATTTTCGTTGATATTGTTCCTGTATTCTTCAGTACCATAGTGATACATGTCACCCAGTGCCTTCTTGCATTCTAGTTCTGCCAGTTCCAATAGAAGATCAACTTGAATTGGGTGATCCCGAACTCCATCCTTTATTTCTTCTAAAGCCCTTACTTCTTCTCCTTTGTTATTCTCTACTGCCTCTTTACAGTGATCTGCCAGGGTTTTTGCTTTCTTTTGACCAGGAACTACGAATAGTCCTGTCGCCATGATAATGCTGAATAATCCAATATCTAAGATTTGGTCTGGAGATAATATTTTGTTTTGAGAAAACACCGGGGCTGCTACTGGCATTGCTATGGCGCTTCCTATAAATAAGAAGAATTGTACCAGGTATACTGTGAGGAAGCAGCATGTACCAACTCTTCTTCTACCAGTATTCTTGCCTTTATTTCTACAGTTAATTGCTTCATGATGCAAATTTAATTTAATCCACAGTACGATAGATGAAAATAGCCATGATAGAGTCAGTATAGCAGCTGCATGTTCGATCCCTCCTGCGATATCCACCTTCAAACCATAGCATAATATTCCTGTTACATTTTCTGACTCTGCTTGTTCTTCTGGGGTCACCTTATGTCTAGAGCCATTGTTGTATAAGGCAATACAGTCGAGCCCATCATGTGGACTGTATGTATTAGAAGTGGCAAGAAAAGTGTTGTACAAAACAACAAATAGGATTGATTGGACAATAACAGCCATGTACAGGAAATGAAGCTTGATATATTTTTGGGGAATAATAAAACCAAATACTACAAAATGGCTGCCACTCTTTTTAATGTATGGAAACACTTTCCTCACCATATTTTCTAGTGGATACCTCCTGGTACATAGGTATCCAAATATTAGCATTACAGCTGGTACAAAACATGAAATGCCAACTAATACAAAGTAAACCACCCTATAAGTAGTATAGGTAGCCATTATTGCTGTTCTTTTCTTCTCCTGGATTCTTTTTAGCTGTCCACTAGCTTGTCTGAGATTCACTGTAGAATGTAGATGACTTTGTATACGTCAATGTAGATGACTCTGTATACGTCCGTGTCGCCAATACTGCACTAGTAGTTAGTAGTTATAGTGCCCTTCATACATCCATACACAGTACAAACCAGATAAACTACAGCTGTTTAGTGTTACCGGATACATTATACAGGAGGATATAGTTGATTATAATAAAAAAGAAGCAGGCTCTAACATCCTCATGTATTACAGTAACTCTCAACATCTGTAGTTTATCTATAACATCAAGAGTTCTTGGTAACATGTAGAGTTGTAACTTAATAAAACTCCAGCTAACTTAAGGCCTTTCTACACTAGCACTTCTAATGCGCATTGATGAGCCGACTTCTGGAACCGGTTCAAGTGTAGAAAGGCTTCAAGTGACTGATATTATTATGTATATAAATTATACTATAGTCTGATTAAATGAAGTTTACATTTGTACATTATTGTACACACACACATTGTTAGGTGTTACATTACCCTCACTCAGTCCCTCCATTTAACAATGAGTGGTGCTCCTGCTGGTCCTGCTGGCACTGGTAAGACTGAGACTACCAAAGACTTAGGAAGAGCACTGGGTATGATGGTATATGTATTCAACTGCTCTGAACAAATGGACTATAAGGTACACTGTATACATGTACATACAGTAGTATATGTATGTACATTGTACTTGAAAATGGGCGTATACAGCACACTGTACATGTATGCATAAGTATCATACATCATATGCATGTACATGTACAGTAGCTTAGAGACAACTTTTATTCAAATTTAAGATATCCCATTTGAATTTCACTACATGTATAATTCACTTATACAGTGAAGATAATGAATTACATGTAGATTTTCATACATCATACAGTATATTCCATTAGTTTTTCCTATTATTCTATGTAGTCTTGTGGTAATATATACAAGGGATTGGCCCAGACTGGTGCCTGGGGTTGTTTTGATGAGTTCAACCGTATCTCAGTTGAAGTCCTCTCAGTGGTAGCTGTACAAGTGAAGAGTATTCAGGACGCCATTAAGATGAAGAAGGAGAGGTTCTTCTTTGATGATGTGGAGATTAAGATAACACCAACAGTTGGTTTATTCATTACAATGAACCCGGGATATGCTGGTAGGACTGAACTACCTGAAAACCTCAAAGCACTCTTCAGGTAATGTACATGTACATGGTTTAAGATTTTGCAACCTTTTGGTGAAGAATTGTGTGCCATATACTGTGCATGTACATTATGTCCACTTCACTCAATATGTATATCATTAGGCCTTGTGCTATGGTGGTTCCTGACTTTGAGCTGATTGCTGAGATAATGTTGGTGGCTGAGGGTTTCATTGATGCACGTATACTAGCAAGGAAGTTCCTTACTCTATACACTCTGTGTAAGGAGCTGCTGTCTAAACAGGATCATTATGACTGGGGACTGAGGGCCATTAAATCAGTACTGGTGGTAGCTGGGTCTCTTAAGAGAGGAGATAGAGGAAGACCTGAAGACCAGGTAACATTTTAAAGTGTATATGTACAGTGTAGCCTCTTTATTGAGCCCACACTACCTGTCCTTAATACAGAGGTGTCCTCATTTCAGAGGTACTTTTGTATAGACTTGTACCAATTGGGACATTACAAAATGCCCTCATTATAAAAGGATCCTTATTATAAAGGTGTCCTCATTATAAAAGGATCCTTATTATAAAGGTGTCCTCATTATAGAGGGTATACACTCTATGCATGTACATGTACATTGTATGTGTACATTAGAATACTACTGTTTATTTACAATGTATTATCTTTAATTCGTGTCCACTGTCCTTCAGGTATTAATGAGGGCATTAAGAGATTTCAACACTCCAAAGATAGTGACAGATGATGTTCCAATATTCATGGGATTAATTGGGGATCTGTTTCCAGCACTGGATGTACCCAGAAAGAGAGACATGGACTTTGAAGCATGTGTCAAGCAAAGTGTACTAGTAAGAACTGTGCATTTGATAATGATATAACATTTACATGTACACATACATGTACATATTATACATGTACAATATACATGTACATGTATATGTATATGCAGTGTTTTCTAAAGCTAAAGGTGCTATAACTAATTGTAGAGCCAGCTATAGCCTCCCTATAATGACTATAATGACTAATTATCTGTTGTAGGATCTTGGTCTTCAAGCTGAGGATGGGTTTGTATTGAAAGTGGTTCAGTTAGAGGAGCTGATTCATGTCAGACACTCTGTGTTTGTAATTGGTAATGCTGGAACCGGGAAGAGCAAGGCAAGTATACATGTGTACATGTTTATGTACATGTACAGTAGCACTACTATCACTATTATTATACTAATACTTTATTAGTATTATCTACATCATCACCATCATTATTTATTATTATTATTATTATACAGATATTACGGTCACTCAACAGAACGTACCAGAACATGAAGAAGAAGCCATTATGGCAGGACCTCAACCCAAAGGCTGTCACAAATGATGAATTGTTTGGCTACATAAACCCAGCGACCAGAGAATGGAAGGACGGTCTGTTCTCATGCATTATGAGAGACCTCGCTAATATATCAAACGAGAGTCCCAAGTGGATTGTACTGGATGGAGACATTGATCCAATGTGGATTGAATCACTCAACACTGTCATGGATGATAATAAAGTTAGTATGACATTGTACATGTATGTACATAAACTTCTTACATGTATACACGTACGTACATACATGTACAGACACATGTACATGTATGTGTATGTACTGTATATATGTATATACTATAGGGAATCTTTCTTTATGTTTAATACATGTACATGTACATGTTTTTAACCAGGCTATATACTATCACACTCCTGTTGATACTGTATTATAGGTGTTAACACTGGCCAGTAATGAGAGGGTCCCCCTCACTCCTTCAATGAGGCTAATG